TTTTTTTTTTTTTTCCCAGTTTAAAAGCCCCATCTTTTCTTTTTCTGTTGCTGAAGGCAAGTCTGTCTTGTAAAAGGAGGGAGGGCAGGTTGAATAATTTTAATTAGTCCTTTCTCATCGCATTCACAAGAACTGGTTCTGCAGATCACTTACTGGCATAGTCCCCATTGTGGTAGTTGGATTCCCTGAATTCCTATACTTGTTCCCACAGTATTGTAAATGATTAGAAGTTGGTATAGTCTAACTGTGCTGTATACTGTCACCTGTTGATTTTTCTTTGTAGCTTATTAGTCAAAGGTACTGCTTTGTTAAAGGCATTTTCTTATGTTCTTTAATCAGGAATGAACTTTCAGCTCAGACTGATATAGCAATTCTCACATCCCGTTGCTTTTTCAAAATGGGAGTGATTTAGTCAGGAGTATTACTGTGGAACTTGCATTATATACAAGCAGGAGATAAATTAAATGATAATACAAAGTGACTATCTCTTCCGATCTGCAAGTGTGTCATGCAGTACAGCAATCATGCTATATTTTACGCTGTGAGTTACATACTAGGAATGCACAAATGTGCAACACATAAACACATTGTCTTGGAATACTAAGTTTTCCTAATATTGAGTATTTTTTTTGGCTCCCAATATTTGGTTCGGATTGATGCAGGAATGAAGTCTCACTGCAGATGCTGAACTGATAAAATGACAAGGAAAAAAATTTATTCTGAACTGTAATGTTACCCTATGTGTGTCAATCAGTGGGCCTTATCTCCAGAATATATGTATAGATTAGTCAGGCTTGCTATGAAAGTAGTGCTTCCTTTTTTAAGTTGGCCCATAATGTCAGAGGCAGATGTTGATGGTGTGGCAGTGTAGGCTGAACCTTCCTGCCAAAATTCTATTAAATTCTGTTGCCATGCAAAAGAGAGGTAGCCTGACAAAATGGTGTCTGACACAGAAGGGTAAATGAAGCAAAGGTGTGTAATTTAATTCCTCCACGTTAAAAAAAAAAAAAAAAAAAAAAGTCACCCATTTACAATGCTTGCTGAGTGTTTATAGAGACCAAATGGATGTCAGCACAGTGAAGAGATGGGTGGTGCATTTCAGCAGTGGCCACTGTGACAGCAGTGACCTACGTTAGTGCACATTCTGAATGAGCATGGCTGCAGACTCTTATTCATGGTGGTAAAAATGCATAGCTAATGGTGGTGACTGTGATGAAAAATAGCGTTTTGTAGCTGAAAATTTTCTTGGTAGTGTTACTGTTCTCTTTGTATCTGCTGTAGTTTCCAAGGAAATAAAATAACATTACTTTTGGAGCAGCTTACATTGACAGATGTGTATGTCAGGTGCTCTGTACAAGGAACCCAGGTTTCATGAGCCCTAAATTTGTTCCTGTGGATGCAAAAGGATTCTCTGAATGATTGTGTTATTGGAGAATATTTTTTCCTGTAAGTATTGGACTATTTCTGTGAACAGTAAAACTTTTCCCATTCTGTTTTTATTAAAGGAAAATCACTGCAGAAGAATAAAAATCCTAGGTGACTGTTACTATTGTGTATCTGGCTTAACCCAACCCAAAACGGACCATGCCCATTGCTGTGTTGAAATGGGATTGGATATGATTGACACCATCACGTAAGTATTGCACATGGTGAATGTGGAAAAGAGCGCTGTAGCAGCTTTGATGTTGCATTCAGTAAAGGTGTTTTCAGAATAACGGTAGTGTCTGGTAGCATTGCCCACCTAACAGTGCATCCTATTGCTTTCAAGTCACAGCTACTGCTTCACAAATCATAATTCTAGACACCAATTTTTGAATCCACTTCCTCACTGTGAGGGAAATTATGTATTTCAGTTGATATTTAACACAAATAATGGAATCTGAGTTCTGTATTTACACTGTTCATTTCACTTACCAGTATGCAAAAATCAAAGCTAGTCCTGATGTATGCAGGTTTCATGTGTTTGCATGTGCTTGCATTCCTAAAATGACAGCTTGCTGTTTTCTCCTTTCTGCACCATGTTTAAATCTTTCATTTAAATTTAGTCTGATTTTCTGAAATGTAGTGTGAAACTTGCTTTGCTGATAAGGATTTTTTTTTTATGCTTGAGCACTCCACTTTAATCTTTTTTTTTTTTTTTTTTACCAAGGTTAAAAAGTGAATGCGAGAGAACTGTGAATGAGCTTTTAGCACGAGCTGGATATCTGTTTCATTGCTTGGGAGGGAAGGAATAAAGAGACTTCTTCGCTACTGTGCATGTGTTTTAGAGTCTTTAGAAGAGAGTGAACTCATTAATTCTGTATATAAATAAATACTTGTCAGCACAGCGCTTTCATTATTACATTTGGGATGGGATTGCTCTTCTGGGATGCTGTCTACTTCTTACTGCAAAAGTATGTCACATCAGAGCCTTAGTTCTATGTTGTAAAGTGTTTGGTCGCTATTTGCAGTACCTCTCATTTTTTCGTTTTGGCTGCTGGGGATATGGATTTGACTCGGGGTTCTCCTTCTGCTTGCTTTAATCCCAAAGTTTTACAGCTTTCACTGTAGAAGTGAATAAACCTCAGTGTAATCTCAGTTTAGTACTATAGTAAAGTATTAAATACAGAAATACAGGGTCTTATAGAGCAAACAAACCTAACATTTATGAGTTCAAAATGTGTATTTTACTACTGCAGTTACTCCTCAGTTACACTTGAGTGCTATGTGAAACAAAATAGAAACATACTGCAGTATCATATAGATTTTTTTTTTTTTAATATGCTAACACAGAATAGCACTCCAAAGATAATCCAGTAAATTTTTTCTTTGTATTGGTCTTTCCCACTGACTCTTACTAATTTCTACTTAATTTCAAAGACAAATTTTAAAGTATGCTTAGGTCTTTGCGAATCAGACCACAAAGAAATACTTCCTCCCTCGGAAATTATATATCTATTTGTTTTAATAAAACGAGTATTCATTATTCCTCAGGTAATTGGAGTAGGAAGTTGTGGGATTTAGTCAATGAGAGACTTAAAAGCAGTTTTCTTAAAAATTCCCATGCCTAACATTTGGAACATTCTACCTTCTGTACTCTTTCTGTTTTGAGTCAGTCACATTTTCTATGCCATACATTTGTATGTGTGGATGCGTATGCATGCAGATGAACACACGGGTAAGCACACAAAGCAAATGCTTTCCCAAATGTAGACCATGCTTGCTTGTGCAAGGTTTTGGTTCTGTAGAGGATGGTAACTGATCTGCTCACTGAGTTCACTGAATCTCTTTCATGAGCAAGTTGTTCTGTCTCTGTGGAAGTCATAGCTCTTCGTTCAAACACAGCTAATACTTTACCACATGCTTCTGTTCCTGCATATCAACCTTATATATTTCAGTGAACCTGGATTCACTGATCTGTCTTTGGAGAGGATTTTGAAGAACCAAAAATGAAAGAAGTACTTAAAACAAATGAAAGCAATTCCCATTTTCAGTTCTATCTTGTGTTTTTCGTTATAATGTTAATTTACTTAAAAACTCAAGGGTTGGGTAAATAAATCCATATTCTCCTCATTAGATGTAAGCTCACATTATCTTTATAAACATTGTAAAACTGACAAAAAACTTTGTAATCTATGGTAATTTATGATTATCTGTGATAAGAAAATCCTAAAAGAATCACACTTTATTCCCTATAACAGCTGGAGTTATACATAACAACACAATGCATAGAGAAATCCTGAAATAATCAAGAGATCCTGAATCTTTATGTTGTGCACAAGACTTCTATATTGCATTTACAAGGAAGGCATTGGGTTTTAGAATAAGCCTTGTACACGTTTTTCAGTAGACTTTTTTTAATCCGTGGAAAGCAGTAGCTGCTGCTCCCATCCTCTTTTTAAGCCTAGAATTAATCATTAATTTCATTAGTTATGTTGTCTTTCGTGCATACAAATAACAGTAATGATACCGCTTTCTGATTTTCCATTTTTTTTTAATTTTCAGTATGATCTATAGTAGAAATGTTTCCTTTGTATGTCTGCTCTCATGATAATGTGAAATTTGAAAAAGGAATTGTATTAAAAAGGAAAGATTTCTCTTGGACTGTTCAGCCTGGAAGATAACAGTACAAATATGAAGTATCTTTAAAAAACGTGCAAAGAGGGTGAAGGCAACTTTTTATCAGCAACATCTAGTGTCAGAATAAAAGCAATGGGTAAACAAAACTGAAATGTAGGGATTCCTGCCTAAAAATTAAAAAATAATTTCTGTTAAAGCGATCAAATACTGGGGAAGTTACAGAGGGATGGTGTGCATTTATAATGCATAATTATCTCCTGGAGATAATTAAAACAGGGCCTTAAAACTCAGCAATTCTGTGACTCTTTAGAAATTGTAGTAGAATATAATTGATGGGCAATATTAGCATTTTATTTTTTAGACATCTTAATTTGGAAGATTTCAGACTTGGAATGTCAATGAGGAGGCAGAGCATCACTGGGGAGGGCTAGCTAGAGACTAGATTTATTTAGGGTTATTGAGGTTTCTAGAGCTCTTGGAGCAGGTTCCAGAGCAGGGCCACTAAGGTGATCAGAGGGCTGAAGCAGAATGTTCTGGGTTGGAAGGGTCCTTAAGGATCATCAAGCTCCAACACTCCCCCCTCCCCACCACAAGCAGGGCCACCAACCTCTAACCAGGCTGCTCAGGGTCTCATCCAACCTGTCCCTGAATGCCTCCAGGGACAGGGCATCCACAGCTTCTCTGGGCAGCTCTCTCTGTGAAGAACTTCCCCCTGACATCCAACCTAAATCTTCCCTCCCTCAACCTAAATGCATTTCCCCTTGTCCTATTGTTATCTACCCTTTCAGACAGTTGGCTCTTCTCCTGTTTACAGGTCCCTTTAGATACAGGAAGTCTGCAATTAGGTTACTCCACAGCTGCTTTTTCTTCAGGCTGAACAAGCCCAGCTCCCTCCGCCTGTCTTCATAGGGGAGGTGCTGCAGCTCTCTGATCATCTTTGTGGCTCTCCTCTCCTTTCCAACATCTGTCTTTCTTGTACTGGAGGCTCCAGACCTGGACACAGTACTCCAGATGGGGTCTCACAAGAGCAGATTAGAGGGGGACAATTACCTCCCTATCCCTGCTGGCCTCACCTCTTCTGATGGAATCTAGGATTCCATTTGCTTTCCGAACTGCAAGAGCACACTGCTGGCTCATGTTAAGTTTTTTACCCACAAGGACTCCCAGGTCCTTCTCTGCAGGGCTGTTCTCAAGGACTGCTCTCCAGTATGTACATTGAGGGAAAGATTGGGGGAATTGGGCTTGTTTAGCTTGGAAAAGAGAAAGCTCCAGGGAGACTGCATTGTGGCCTTCCAATTCTTGAAGGGAGTGTATAGACAGGAGGGGGAATTATTGTCTACAAGGGGAGATGGTTTTAAACTAAGACAAGGGAGGTTTAGGTTTGACAGTAAGAGGAAGTTTTTCACCCAGAGGGTGGTGAAGCACTGAAATATGTTGTAGAGAGGTTGTGGATGCCTCATCCCTGGAGGCATTCAAGGCCAGGCTGGATGTGGCTCTGAGCAGCCTGGTCTGCTGGTTGGTGACCCTGCACATAGCAGGGGGGTTGAAACTAGATGATCATTATAGTCCTTTTCAACCCAGGCCCATTCTATGATCCTCTGTATGTATGCACAATTATTCCATTCTTATTATTATTATGAGGAATTAGGAGTGTGAGTAACGTTCCTACAGGAGGCAATTGGATGAGGTCAGACTCTTCTCAGTGGTGTGTAGTGATAAGACCAGGAACTATGGCCAAAAACTGGAACATAGAAAGCTCCTCACAGATATGCAGAACTCCTTTACAGTGAGGGTGACGGAATACTGGAACTGGCTGCACAGAGAGATTGTGGAGTCTCCTTTGGAGGTATTCATGACTCATCTGGACACTTACCTTTGTGACCTACAGTAGGGAACCTAGTTTAGCTGAGGGATTGGACTTGATCTCTAGAAGTCCCTTCTGCCCCCTGCAATTTTGCCAGTAAGGACTGCAATATCCAAGTTGAATGCACATTTCTCTTCTTAGTAAAACCAAATTACCAATTCTGATTATGCTAGAGAACAGGAAGATGGGGCATTCCAAGAGAACTTACTCTTAATTATATTTCTTCTTTTACTGCAAATGGAGTATCATCTGTTCAATTTTTTGATGTTTTCTGGCTCCAGATCTCTTGCTGACAGGAGTGTGTGGATAAGTCAAATGCACAAAGAGCTTCAGAGCAGGAAAACAGGCTCTGCTGAAGATTAGGAAAAAACTTTTCACTCATTCATAAACACAAAATCTAGAAGACAGATTTCGGAGATTATTTTGTTTGGAAAATATGCTGAGCAGATAAAATAGAGGTATAAAGCTTATGGTAGTATGGTTAGAATGAAACTGCCCCGCATGGGTTGTAAACAATCAAACGAGCAATTAAAGCAGAGACTGTTATGTTTTCTTTCTACTCCAAGGGTGAGAAATGAACTGTGTTGCTTCCAATTAGAAACAAGGAGGGAATCTGGTGAACAGGATATAAATGTTGGTACAGGTATTGAGGTTAACATTCATAACTTATTAAAAATGTAACGGAATCCTGTAACCATTTGTATCATTACATAAATTGTACATTTTGATTATACTCATTCCCTTGACTAAGGGGATGTGCCTGAGAAGATCATGGAACAGATCCTCCTAGAAGACATGTTAAGACACATGAGGGATGAGCAGGGGATCTGAGACAGCCAGCATGGCTTCACCAAGGGGAGGTCTTGCCTGACCAATCTGGTGGCCTTCTGTGATGGAGTCCACCCTGGTGGACGAAGTGAAGGTGACCAATGTCATTTGCCTGGACTTGTGCAAAGCCTTTAACATGGTTCCCCACCACATCCTTATCTCTAAATTTCAGAGATACGGATTTGAGGGGTGGACTATTTGGTGGATAAGGAATTGGTTGGAACAGCTGTAGGCTTTTGATCAATGGCTCTATGTTGAGGTGGAGTTTGGTAATCAGCTCTGTGCCCTGGGGATCTGTCTTGGGTACAGTACTCAACATCTTTATCAGTGGCATAGAAGATGCAATTGAAGGTACCCTCAGCAAGTTTACTGATGACGCCAATCTAAGTAGTACAATTAATACAGCAAATTAAAAAAAATACTGTATTAAAAAATTTAATTAAAAAATTAAAATTAAAAAAGGGTTGGCATCCAGAGGATAACAAAGCAAAATGCAACATTTTGCTCTTAGGCTGAGATAATCCCAGATACATATACAAAAAGGGAGAAGAAATCCATGACAGTAGCCATGCTGAGAAGGACTTAGTGATTCTGGTTGATGAAAAATTTAACGTAAGCCTTCATGGTAGCAATGGTAGTGGGAGGATGGTTGGACTAGATGATCTTGTAGGTCATCTAGTCCAACCTTGTGATTCTATGATCAAAGCTGAGAATTTCATTAAGTCCAAAGGACTGAATCATTGCAAATTCCAGGAGTTCCTGATTATGGGTTCATCATTTACTTTTCTGAAGGAAGGTGGCTAAGTTGAGGTAAGATGCTAAAGAGGCTTTATGATTTCCAAAGTGGCATCAAGTCCTTTGTGAATCAAAAAGAAAATTTGTGCCAGAATGTGAAGATTAAAAATGTATCACAAATTTTTGGTGGATTTGACCGCTCATTTAAATGAGTTAAACGAACAACTTCAATGTAAAAGCCATCATATCTGTTGTATATTTCAGACAATAACAGTATCTGAAATGAAACTTAAATTGTGGCAAGCTCAAGTTATGGAGAATAATTTCATGCATTTTGATACACTGACTAAACACAGTCCTGTGAACAGTGGAAAATATGCAGCTGTGTTTTCCATTTTGATAAATAAATTTGAGAATAGATTTCAAGATTTCAAAATAAGGTATCAAATTTTTTTGTGTATTTGCAATTCCATTTGCAGTTAACATAAATATGTTACTTGTGAATTTTCACACAGAATGTGAAGAGTTGCAATCAGACATTCAACGAAAAATGGTTCTCTGTACCAGACTTTCATAAGCCCTTTCTTAACAAAGAAAAATACTTCATAGTCACACCTTAGTCATGTCATCATTTTTGGCAGTACATACATTTATTTTCAAACAATTATTTTCAAGTATGAAGCACAGGAAAAGTAACTGCATCAAAAAATCTCTGATGAACACCTTGAGAATTCACTGAGAATGACAACCACCTCAACTGAGCCAAACTGTTGAATTAGTTTCACAAAAACGAGGCCAAACATCTCACTACCTTTATGTTTCTGTTGCTCTCTGTTGCTTTTTTAAGATTTAATTGAAAACAAACAAACAAAGAAACAACCCCACATAAAATAAGCCTTGTTACTTAAGTACATTAAATGTATTATATATTTTATACGTGCCCAAGCAAGCCAGAAGGTTGGACAATTATGGTTTAAGAATTATGGTATTATGCGGGAGGAGAATTATTTTATAATAGGACTTGTCTCCTATATTGAATATTCCTGCTATTTGTGGAGTTTGAAGAGATGTGAAGGAAAAGACCTAGGAACCCTTGCTTTCTGAAATCTAGGTACCTTAGTGGGATCTATCAGGGGATAAATCAGCTTTGTTTTTCTATCAAATAGTGAACGACACGTGAATAACACTGATAACTTGATCTTATATTGTTGACTCCTAACAGATGAAATTTGGTCTTATATTGCACCTGCATGTTCTGTTGCTGTTTAGTTAATTATTGTGAAGTCTGATGCTTGAACCATCTCTTTCTGGAGAAAGAAAAAAAAAAAGGAAAAAAAGAGTGAGGAATGTTTTCAAGATTCAGATTTTACACTTGGGAAATATTTTGTTCAATATAAAATGTTTTAATAGCCTGCTTTATGGTTCGTTGGTGCAGTCTAGCTTTTTAAAGCAAGGAATGTGATCATTCATGTTGTATTTCTCTGCCCATTTCTTTTATTTATTTTGTTCTAATATTCAAGTTTCTATAAGCAGGTGAGCAAGCTGGGGCAAAGAAAGGTAGAGAGCATCTGAAGTAGTTTTGGTCACTGCAACTGCATTGTATTTTCATGTACCATGATATTTTATAGACTATTTTAAATGAAAAGTTTTTTTAATGTTAATCTGCATATAGGAAAACTCACACTATTGTAGGTATGGTGGTGAAGTGGCTTCAAGATGTACCAGTGTCGATTCAGGCTGGATGTTAGGAAATACTACTTCTCTGAAAGAGTGGTCAGGCTCTGGACTGGGCTGCACAGGGAGCTGGTGGAGTCACTGACCCTGGAGGTGTTCAAGGAACGTTTGGACTTGTGTTGAGGGACATGGTTCATCCATTGTTTGGCTATTGGTGATCAGTGGACGGTTGGACTGAGTGATCCTGAGGGTCTTTTCCAACTTCGGTTATTCTATGACTCTATGAATTAAATACTACTTTAGTTAGCCAGCAGAACATACACAAGTGAGCAAGCCTTAGTCCTGAAATGATTTGGCTTGCAGGCTACATGCTATGGTCTTAACATAAGCTCACTCAGTGAATGGCACAGTGCATGTGCACAGTGAAGACAAAGTTATCGTTAGGTGGCTTGTCTCATTATCTCCTTTATTTCCTTGGGGCTTTGTCAAGCACACAGTGAACATAAGAAGTGTAACAATGATAATAATTCCTTGGAGTCGTATTTAAGGTTTGCCTGCAAGCAGATACTGTATAATGAAAGGTCAACTTTCAGTAGATAGAAATAGGACAAGGAAATACTTAATCTATTAGAAAGCTGTGCATAAGTCTCTCTCTGCTGTTGCATTAAATATGACTGAAAATTGTGTCAGGCCTAGATTTCCTGTGGTGACAATAGATTTCTACAGTTACCCGCATTAGTGAGGGCCGACACAGCATGTAGTTCTGCAGCAATCCAAGGCTGCAGAGCTTCTTAAATTGATGCCAGGAGTATTGTGCCGTAACGCATCTCATCTTGTCCTATACTGCACATGCCCTTTCAATTAACTGTACCTTTTAAAGTACAGCTGTACAAGAAATAAATATGATTGCTACCCCTAAAACAGCTGCAAAGTTTTTCTAAAGATCTCCATCTCTTGTGGCTTGATGATATTTTTAAAAACATGCTGGCCAATGAAAGGTAAGGATAAAAATATAGCCAGAGTACGAGTTTAAGGACTTCTATTAAATGCCTTGGAAAGTTTAAATTTAGAAACCTACAGAAAATTAAATATTACATAAATTAGGTAGCTTTTTTATTTTCTCATTATGTCTGCTTTTGAACTGCAACTTAAATGTGAAATTCCACATGCCTTTGTAGCAGGACAAACTGCAAAGATTTATGCACAACATTATCTCTTCACGAACTATGTAAAATTATTAGTTTCAGGAATCCTTTTCAACATTCACAGGTCACTGCAGAGTGAGAATGTACTTCACAAAGAATCCTCCCTTATAGTGGCGTCAAAATCAAAGCTCTGTCAATAACGATTTCACCAATTAATTCCTCCTCTTCCAGGTATACAATGAAAATCTCAGAAGTTTAGCTTTAATTCATAAGTTGTGGTCCATAGTTAGCCATAGTTAGGGGTGATTTCTATGCCACTCTTCTCAGGGCTTTGGGAGTACATGAATGTTTATTATCACTCTTCTACTGATTTTGCACCAATTTAGTAGTTTCATCATGTTTCTGTTCTGTATTCCTAATAAAGTCATTTCTTGAATCATGTGTATATTTATTAACTTTGGGGAAAGTACTGAAAAAGAAAATAAGAGTAATGGTACTGTCTAAAGACTTATATTCTGATGCTATATATTCCAGATCTGTTGCAGAAGCCACAGAGGTTGATCTCAACATGAGAGTTGGATTACATACAGGAAGGGTGCTTTGTGGGGTCCTAGGTCTCCGAAAATGGCAATACGATGTCTGGTCAAATGATGTTACTTTAGCCAATGTAATGGAAGCTGGAGGATTGCCTGGGTAAGTCTGAGAAAGACCTATAGAAAAAGAACCAGAGACCATATAGGTGAATAATTTCCTCCTTCGTCCCACTTGCACTGTACTTGCTATTCATAAGAAGGGTTGAGAGTTGTGTACAGTAAGAGCAGCAACTGCATTATCTCCTGTGGAACTGTGCAAATGACCTTGAAGTTTTTGTTCTTAATAGATTGGAAGTAAAATTTTGAAAAGCAGTAGAAATAAGTTCTCTTAGTAAGTGTTTTCCAAACTCCTTTTTAGAAACTGCCACATAGAAAGAGAAGGAATAAGACAGCACTAGGAAAGTAAAAATGCTAGACGTTCATAATCATTTCAAGTTATAAAAGTAAAGCTCCCTAAACACTTCAGGAATTTTTGGATTCGTACACAGGAAGGGGGACAGGAGGGTATACATATGTTCCTTACTCTACTTACAAGGACAAGTAGTCAATACTAGTTGTCTGCTGCCAAAAGAAAATACCTGCTTACATGTTCAGATATCCATCATGTGTCTGCAGATGATACAGTAGTACATAAACCTGCAGCCATTGCATGAGGCATGCCTTGGAATTTTAAGTACTCCTTGGGCAGCCTTGGACTCAATTTAAGTGGACACAGTGCATCAGTACACCTCTTCAAATGCAACTTGCGTTTGAACTACAATCTTGCAATCTTTGTTAGTTTTTTACAAGATTTTGACATTCTGAACAGGGGAACAATGGAGCCTCTTCATTTTTCTGTCTGAGTGAATTTCTGTTTGCTATATACGTTTAAGAGAGTTTAAACAATGTTTCTGAGTATTCCTTACCTTGAGGCTTCCCAGTTAAAAAAAAAAAAAAAAAAAAAAAAAAAAAAAAAAGAAAGTTTGTAACAGCTTTTCAGATACCTTGTAGAAAGTCATTTCAAATATGAATGATCTTTCAGGAGAAAATGTGAAGATAGTTTTCTGTATATGCAGTCTCACATGTGTCAAAAATGTATGTGCTTCCCAAGTACAGTGGATGAGAAATCTGCCCATAAAACAGAGTAAGTAAACAGTGCATTTGAGAACTGTTAAGGGAAACAGGATGAGAACAAAAATTTTTTATCTTTTATGCACTTAAGAGGCTAGGGTTTTTTTTCCCCACAACAGACAGAGAGATAAATCAACAAAATTACACAATATGAAAGATGATGTGCAGACTTCCACTTTCTACCAATCAAGAAGTCTGCAAATCTTTGGAGATATTGCAGTTACCATTTTGCTAGAAATACTTTGATTTATGTGGCTGAATATACATATCCTATTATGATCTTTTGCACAGTAGCAACTAGTGACGTATCACTGCTTTAAAGAAGGTCCCATTTTTCTCTCCAGGAAAGTTCATATTACAAAGACCACCCTAGAGTGCCTAAATGGGGACTATGAAGTAGAACCAGGATATGGCCATGAAAGGAATAGTTTCTTGAAGAAACATAATATTGAAACATACTTTATTGTGCCATCCCACAGGAGAAAGGTAGGCTCTACAAATTCTAGGTTATTCTGTAGCATGGTTTTGTAGCTTAACAACTGTTCTGTGATACTTTGAAAACAGAGGCAATGCTGGCATTTCTTCTTTCTAAAAGAAAGCTTCAAATTAGATTTTTTTTTTTTTAATACTTAAACATTAAATTTAAAAAAAAAAAAAAAAAAAAAGCACTAACCTTGTACAATAACTTAAGATTATCAATGAATTTTAAGATTACAATTACTCACTTTACTCCACAAAAATATTAAAATTTTGATTTATTAAGATTTTGTAATCATTGTATCAGAAAGAAGATCCATCAGTCCAAAAATGTAGTTCATACCTATTTTGCTTCCCTAATCACTAATGTTTCAGATCACTAATGCTTGACAGCTTGCCTGTTTTTCTTTGCTCTTTCATTCCCATATTGCCATGTCATTTTACTCATGCCCTCCTCATAACTCCTTATACAATCACTTGTGATACTGGTGACTCCCTTGCTAGGCCTGTAGGAATCCCTAATGCAGAAAAACTAGTATTTTCAGACGTGTCATGCCCTTAGCAGAAAGGATGGTTAAACGAGTTTAGTAGTAATTGAACTAACACTCCCCAGAAATCTAGAAATCTTGCCAAGCTGCAGAACATAAGTCTTTTTATCTAAGTCACAGGCAGGAATCAACTGTTGTGCTTTCAAATATATATATACACCAGTGTACCACAGATCAGTTATTTATGCTCAAGCCAAGTAAGTTTCCTAATATGATCGCAACAGATAATATATTCATTGCCCAAAGCACGCATTTTCTCCTGCTAAGCTGAGCTGCTCATAACAAACTAAAAATAATTTTCCCTACTTGTTCTGCCACCTCAGACTACTGTATTGAACATAGTAATCTCTTCCCTATCACAGCCACCTTCTGCACAGATTTTTATCATGCTCCCCTCTCCCTTCAGCCTATTCCTTTTGTCAGACCCCTAGAAAAACTACTGGGGGAAGAGAAGTGAGTGGTCAGAACCGCAAGGAACAAGAATGTTTTCTGCTCTTTTCTTCCTTTTGGAGGAGAACAGAGAATTGAAAGTGTGAAAAGAACAAGGTAAGAGAAGATTTTAGCTCATTTGAGCAGGAACTTCACTTCTTAGATGTTGTTCAGGATTTAGCATCACTGACAGAAATGGCTGTGACTCCTCATTCTAGATGGATCTTCAGAATAAGGAGAGTCCCAGCAGTGTAATGGTAACTGAGTGTTAGCATGTAGTGAAGTCAGTGACCTTTAAGCAGCTTCATTCAGTTACTTCTTTCTTCCTCAAACAGTTAGTGACAGCTCAAATCCTGAAAACTTCATTCAATTTAGTATTCATGGATTAAAACAGCATAAGAAATAATCATATTTAGGACAACCTTTATACTGTAAAAAAACATTGTGACTTCAGTAGGATGTCTTGCAAGTCCATACTTATCATTTAAACATAATTAGTTTGTTCAAACATTTTCAACATCGAATCAAGCTTCTCTTAGTTAACTGGCATAATATGTTTACATGTTGAGAAGGTCTTTATTGTTCTTTAAACTTTTTGAGCTAGAAAAGTCAGAATACAGATCTTTTACCCTTATTTTCCGAGACTGCCCAAACAAGGTTCATTCAGGAATTTGATCTGTAGAGGGAAATTTTAATAATCAGGTCTGAAAGTACAAAAATGAAGATGAGGCTTTAAAGCAAATTAAAAGGCCTATTCTTGAGGGTGTTACTAAACTTCCACTAACAGGTGTTTAACAAAAAGGCAACAAAGAAAAATAAATTATCTCGAATGTCAGGTCTACAGTCAGTTTTCTAGTGTGAATTTGATGATTTATGGAGATTTTTTGGAAGCATTGGATGTCAGGTCACCAGAGTTTTCAGATTCTAGGAATGAAAATTCTGTTGTTTTATCCCTAGAAGGCTGCTATAAGATTGTGTTATTGTGTGCTTCTTCTAACACAACTTGTTTTCAGAGAGATGTTCTTCTTGAAATTATTTTATTCTTTGTCCTTATTTTATTCTTCTTCTGCTGCTACATACAATTAAATTTGTTTCTATATTTTTAATGAAATAGAGAAAACCAGTGGGTTATATTCTGTTTCCATCAACAGTGATATTTTTTGTTAGTTTTCTTGAAAATAAAATTAGTTCCTAAATTATCAAAACCCCCAAAAATTCCACCAAAACTTCAAGCAAACTCATAAAGAAGATTATTCATTAAGATAGATATGTTGCTGACTGCAGCTACAGTTGTTTGCTTTGTCTTAACCACTGTTTTGACTCCCACAGCATTATGTATATTTCATTTTCCGTGTTGCATGTCAGGCTTCATTTTGTATTTATATGATAAATAAGAACTAAATTTTAGGAAAATTTTGGCTGTGTTGGTAGACAACAAGAAGAGGGAAAAGGGGATAAATGCAGCCATTACACGTAGAAACTGTTCTCTTAACTCCACTGCATAAAACAGTGGTCAAAGAATTTTCAATAGAATCTTGACATTTGCATATTAAGCCACTCAAACATAGGTTTAATGTACAAAGATGAGGAGTCTACACACAAGCACATTTCTTTTTGTTTGTAAGACTGCTGGGAAACTACTGATGACTGCTGGGAAACAAGTGATTGGTTAGTACCAGCTACATAAACTAAATGCCATTTCACCCATGGGTGTTGCTGATGAGTTTGTGGAAATGACAGATGCTGTTCTACAGCTTGGCTGACATCACCTCTCTGGCATGCATCGACACAATGTCAGCCAGTCTAACAGAAAGACTTCATGAGTTTTACTGGTATTGACAGGCTTCTTCACGGTACTCACAGAATAATCAACATGTCACTCTGCTATTTGTCACATAGCTGTGATTTACTCTGCTATCTCCTGTCTTTGTAAACTTGTATGCTGATCACTGGACCACAAGATACTAGTAAATACATTCATAATAGTATATTTAGATAAATAAAGACCTGTAATCCCCTCCTATCTTGATTCAGTCAAGAAATCTTCAGAGACAATGGAAGAGAAGGCTGCCCTTGAAGCACAGAGAAGATTGAGTAGGTGAATTTAGGTATCTGATGATATAATATTGTATCCCTTCCTCAGGAGCCCCAGTAGCTGAAATGCAGAAACATTTTTATTCTTTATGCATCATCTCTGAAATTAATTTGAGCTGACTACAGCAGATATGATGTCAAGAGGAATGAAAATTAGTATTACCAGCAACAGATGGCCAAGAATCTGTTGAACTTAAAAAGGTAAATAGGATCGGTTAGTACTTTAAAAAAAAAAAAAAAACCCAAATTTATTTAGTAAACAGATACTTCACATTCTCCCATATTTTATATGGGAGAAATGTCTTCCCTTAGTTGATCAACAGCATATATTATTCGCACACCAGTTACATTTTAAGTGTGAACAAATTATGAAGTATTCCCAATTATTTTATTCTTTCACTGAATCAACAACCACGATTTTGTTATCTGATATGACTGCCAGCATGGTGTAGAAGCCAAAACGTGACAGCACAGGTAATGAAGTTAGCCACTCTTCTCTTACTCCTGCAACATTAACTAATATTTGGCTGTGACCTCAGTGATAACTAGGTAAACTTTTTTCTGAACGTACTTGCATTGTCTACATTACACAACTCTCTGCTTATAACTCTAGTTTTAGAAAGACTTTTTGATTATTTTCACTGAAAGCAAACAGTTCCACACAGACAATTTAGCAAATTTCCTAAGGTTCTTCTCTGGAAAGCCAAATAGTGGTTAAGAAATAATCAAGTTTTTCCAAGTAGAAAGATTTCTCACCATGTGAGTGCTTGCTTTACAGAAGGAGGCCTGCCATCACTATTACTCATTGCCAGCTTAAGGGAACCTACTTCACTGAATAACTTCACTAGTTCCAGAATTAGGGCAAAGAAAAATAATGCAACAGAAAATTAATAGTAGACAATAGAATTGTTTCCGGGAAAGGAGTCTACAGAAGGTAAGAAAATAATAGGTAAAGACTATAGTTAAATTTTATGAAGGATTCCTGTATATTAATATACAATGGATCCTACAACATATCTTGACTGTTGCAAGCAGTTAGCTTCTGATGGATTGCAAATTACCATCTGCAACATTTCTACTGATGTGCTAATCAGTTATTCACCAACTATGTACATATTTGAATATGTATATTCAAAGCTGTTTATCTTTTATTTGTGACAATGTAAATCACAGTACACACTAGATGGAGATACTATTTGAACAGTATGTGATGGACATTCATGAAGAGTGTGTACTGCATCTGTTCATGCTTTAAAAACAGGCTGTAAAATGAACGTAATGCAAAATAATATAAAAACATCAGAAGAATGCCCGAAAGGGAATTACACATTTTTACAACTTTTCTGTACATATACATTTCTGAAAGGGCTGACATTTGTCCTTTCTACCTTACATTGTACATACAGGAACATGCCAGGCAGCCTCAGAAAATCATTTTTGTGTGTTGGATTGTCATGCTATACTGTATGAAGTCTGAGTAAAGCTATGACCACTGTGAAAATCCTAAGTAAAAGGGTTTACACCCTTTCTGATACGTCCAACAGGAAGGAAGTAGATGTCAGTTAACAGGAAGGCATTATTTTCTTTAACATATTTCTCCTCAGCAAATCATGCCCTAAATGTTCTAAAGTCAGTAGCTAAAATTCTATTTTATTTTTGCCCAAATAATAATCATAGCCACACACAAGTACCAGCAGTCTGTCTGAAAAAGAGAACTTAAAGTAGTAGTTGAGGGAAACGAGTATTGTCATTCTTATAATTTCAGGAAAAGCACATCGAAAACCTGAAGGTTCTTAACATGAATGCTCTTACAATGCAAACACAGCTCAGGAGAATCTTTCTGAAATTGCTACTTAAAGTGTAAGAGCTCTTGTAAGAGTTAGAAATCAATTATCTACAGCAAGCACTCATAGCATAGTTTAAAGTGAAATGCAGATG